AGTGTCGTCTACGCTACCAACAAGTACAGTAATTTATATATCAGGATAACAAAGAGGTTGTGCAACTTATTTTGTATAAGTAGAACAGAGTTTGGAATATATTGAAATTAATTTCACTTATACACTGTATTATGTAAATTTAAGTCAAACAAAATATAAGTGGCACATTTTGAATAATCTTTCTTACAATTAAAGCAATAATTTATTATAGATATTTTAGCTATTAGATAACATACAACATATTGAATATTATACTATAACGTAAGTTGCTTCAAAGTAAATAAACAAGTAAATTCAAGTGTCTTTGCACTTTACAAACATTTTCAGTCTTAAAAATGTTATTTATTAACATTACAAAATAATGTCAATGCTCGGGCTTGAATACTTTTAGAAATTATATTCATTAAACTAAACTCTGCTTTGTCAGAGTTTAATTTTTTCTAAAAAATTACAGGTTGTTATTAATTATAGATTTTAATTTGAAAAGTAATAATTATGCTTCTGAAGAAATACATTAAAAATATGCAAGAAAGTGATATTGATCATTGCCAAGTCATTATTGATTCTAACCTTAATACAGTGCTTGCTTGTTTTTAAAATACGCAGACAAAATCAATAGTATTTTATCAATAGAATCAGTAAAATTCGGTATGATTCAGAAAACATATCATATCTTTCCGGAACGTACCAAAGTCTACGAAGATGACACTAGCAAATATTTTATTCGTCATCCGCTTTGCTGAATTTTAAAAAGTATTAGTTACAGTTCAGTATTTTTAATCATAAATGAATGACAAATGAATAAAGGGAAAAATTTTTTTAATTTTATAAATTTTTATACGTATACAATAAATGTTGTATGGTATACGAAATTCTTTTTGAGGGAGATTTATTTTTAGTCTACATTTAAAATATACTTTATAGAGTAATTAGTATTTGGATTTAGAATTATTTCGACATAAAGTTCTGATTATAAAAGAAAAACTGACTCGTTAAAAATAATATATTTGCCATTTTATACTACTGTATAACAGTTGTATATAATAAAAGAAATGCCAGGTATGTGATTATTGCTATTCATGTATACATGTGGCAAATAATGAATCATCTACAAGATCTGTCTTGTGTATAATTTATTCAATAATTACAAAATTTTGAATTTTATGCATAAAAATCATTATTAAAAAAGCATCCAATATTTCTAGGACTGAAAATGTATGTAAAAAGTTTTTTCTATTTTATATTTAAATATGTTTTTATTCACTTCTGTGTGGTTTCAGCAAATAAAATTAATGTAGCAATCTTGTCATTTATTTGAAAATAAATGACTTGAATGAGAAAATTGTTTTCTAAGCTAATTTTAACTTTGCATTTTATGAACTTTGTTATGCAAGTTGCACAATAACAGCATGTACGGATCATAATTTAATTATTTTGAAAGAATTGTTGTCCAATTTAATATTCTCTACTGAAATTCTGTTCCGTTTGTGTTGTTGAATCTTGTTATATGTTTGATAAACAGTATTTACTGCAGAAATATTTATTGCCAAAAGCAGTTTGATCTTACAAAATATTATTCAGTATTTTAATTAAACTAAACTAAATTTTGATACATTACTAATACATCTTGATTTTTTGATGCTAAAATGTCAATCTCAGCATTTCGGATTTCACTTTATGCACTTTGTCCGTCTAGTGTATTTTCACAATATTTTTCTCTTGATAAGCTGCAATAATAAAAGTTTTGTTTTACTATTAAATGTATACAAAGATTTAAAAGTATGTACATTATCAAGTATTACAGTAGATGCAATGATTTAGGTAATGAAATTTTAATGGCAAGAGTCCAAAATTTGCTTTTGAGTAAAGTGGGTTTAAATTAACTTGGACGCTTCGATAAGGATTTGTCTAAACGCCATCAAAGTTTGAATTTGTTCTAATCCGTCAGATTCGTACGAATCAAAAATTGCTTTGTATTATTTTAATTAAACTTCTACTTTGTCAAATGTTTACTTTATATATATTTCAAACACCAATCGATACTTTAAACATGTTTAAATTTTTGTTTTAATGATTATAATGCACTTCTTGAAAGTAAAAATGTCAATGTATTCTTGATGGAATTTTGCAATTTTAAGATTTTTGTACTTTTGTATTACTAGTCAATTAAGTTCCTATTTAAAATAATATATATATGCTTCATTTTATAGAATATTTAAATAAATTACAACAGAATTTTGTAGTTGTTTATTATCAAATAAGTTATATTTTAATATAATTTGATGGAATTTTTTTCCTGTGAATTTTATGAACCATGTGTAAAAATCCCTTTGTTTTCTACAATGTTTGTATACAAATAAAATTGTACATACCTCATGTAATCTTGTTTTATTTATAAAGCATTTACAGCTATTTATATATCTTAAACTTGTTTTCAGACATAAAAAAACCAATTCTCTATTTTTTACACCATTTTTTTTAATTCAGAATAGAAAAGAATCTCTCATTCCATCAAAATCATTCCCCCTAATTTTTTTTTCACTAAAATTAAATTGGGATGTGTCAGCCAGGTTTTGTGTGTTATTTTTGTAAGTTTTTTATGAATATTTTTTTAAAAAGAAGCTAAAAATTGCATACAGAAGTATAAATTAGAATTAGAAATTTTTTATTTTCATATATCACAGTTAGTTGTATATAAAAATACATAATACAGAATAGATTTTACTCTACTAAATATATTACTAGGACATAATCTCTTGTTTACTTGCATTATCTTTTATAATTTTTGATTTTATTTATACTATTTTATCTATAAAAGTAATTTCTCCATTGTTTAATTACAAAAAATATAATAAACACAACTTTTATTATACACACCACACATTCTAAGTGTAGCCATTTAATTCAAAGTACTACAAGTTTTATACATTTTTATATTTTAAAATAATTTATTTATATTTTCCATACAAAGGTGAAGAATTACATGCTTTTTTCATTATAATTTAAACAGTTAATCACGCCTTGCACGATCGCGTTTTTTTCATAAACCCGTTTCGTGAGGAACAAAAGTTACATCTACAATAGTTTATGTTAATCTATATACGACGGATGATACAAAAAAGAAATTACACACACAATTAATGAATAAACTGCTGTTACATGAGTATATTCTATTAAACTTTAAAGTTAATTGAAATTATTCATATACAAGTTTTATATATATTTTTTTAACTTAGTTTTATTTTTAATATTTTAAGAGACAAATTTCAAAATATAATTAAAAATTTATCTGCTTACACGGTGTTTTAAAATATTTAATCAAATACAATTCCAATTCTGAATTTAAGTTAAAAATTTATATTCAATGCATGGCTGATTGGAATAATTCAAAATTAAATTTAATTAACTGTGTACAGTATACATCATGCTAATTTATAATTATTTTGAAAATTTATAACATCTTTACGATAGGAAAATTATGGAATATTTTCTCATTAACTAAGCTTTCCTTAATTATTCTCTTGATTGATGTTTACTAACTTTTCTCAGATTAAAGTGTATTTATATATAAACGTATTCTTTAAAAGAGAATTGGCACTATCAACGGCAGAATATTTTTCTGTTTACATTTAATTTTTATATAATTTACGTAACAAAAATATATTTATAAACAAAAAATCTATACAGTTACAATTTAAAAAATAACTTTATAAAATTTATAATAAATACATGAGTCATAGAACTATGCATAATTGTTTACTCGTTTATCCCCCCTCCCCGCTATAATTTCGTTATCTAACTGACATTTTGACTGATAGCTTCTAAATATGTATTCTTTGTATGGAAGTTAAACGTGTTGACAACATCCCATTTGGCAAGTGAACTGAAATTTTTAGGAAAACAAATCCTTACAACGAAATTTTTACTTTATTGAAACGAATATCTTTCCTGTAAGTAAAGTTTGTAAAATGAGAGAGGATATGTTACTCGGTTCCGCATTTTATCGATTTTTAAGCAAACAATTTAATCAAATTTGGCTGGATAAGAGAAAAACAAATAATATAAAGCCTACGAATCGAACTAAACTGGGTCAAGGGAAAGGTGTGGTGATCGAAATATCAATAATGAACATAGTAAAAAGAAGCAGTGATTCCTGAACAAATGTTTCGGTTAGTTCTCGTATTTTTTTGGCATAAAATTAGCAGCTGAAACATTAATATTTGCTGCGAAATATGTTTTAAGAATCTAGATACGAAGACATTGATAGATGGAGAAACAGAAGTTGGCATCTATTTACCATAGTAAAGATAACACGAAAACATAGCCGAAATTTCAAGTTTTTAAAAATTTTTTTTACTGGTTGACGTCCATATACGAACTGAAAAGATGTAGCACGTGGTTATATAACAAGATTAAACATAGAGACAGATAAGAATAAAATCTAATGAAGAGATTAAATGTTATTAAAAAGATCTTAGAAAAGCTGACATTATGATTCAGCAAATAACTATTATTAATAATAATTAGTAAGTTAAATGTGGATGCTGTTTATTTAAATAATAATAAACTTGATAAATGAATTATATAATTATGTTTCGCTTATTAAAAATTTTATAGTTCTAAATTATCTTACTCTCTTAAAAATTAGATTTAAAAATTATTGATGTGTATAATTCTTATTGTTTTGCAACGTATTTGGATTTAACAGGTTTATGCAATTTTTCCTATAAAATCACTCCCTAAAACAGGTAAACGCCTATTCAATTAAAGTAATTATCTGTAGAAATAATATAAAATTACTTTTATCCTATAAAAGAATCTATTTAAGACGCACAGGCTTATGAAGATTATTCGTAATATTGTAAAGATGTATTTAAAATTTGTAATATATTGTAAGAATCTCGTACAGTCGTTAAGAAAAAAAAAGTGATGAGGATATCTTGATACGAGAGCGATGAACAGTTAAATAGTCGGAGGAGGAGCTACATCTTCCACGCAGGCGCATTGATCACCGCTAGGGGGTTTCAGAACGCAGACGTTTGTTTAGAAAGTAGGGTTATGGTGGTGCCGGTCGCTTTTTTGCCTTTCTCCGTCGAAAAATGATATTAATTAGACATTTTAATGCCGACATAATCGTCTGATGTGTTTTAAAAACTATGGGGAAGATAAAAACGTTCGAAATCGTTTTAGATAGCAACAAAACTGTGTATTATCCCGGTCAACAAGTGCTAGGGAAATGTGTTGTGGACTTGAGAGGAGATATGAAGATGAAGACGTTAAGGATATACATGAGAGGAGTTGCTAAAGTGCACTGGACGGAATCGAGGAGCACGGGAAACCGTCTCGGAGCTTATACTGAACATTATAATGCCGAAATCGAGTATTTCTTCAAGAGGCAAGTTCTATTTGGAACAGGTGAGTCAATTGCTCACAATGCTTTTATCAATAACAACGTTAAATCACTTCTTTCCGCTTATTTTTCATTGTATTCTATTGTCGCTTTTTATTGTTATTTACACACACACTACACACACACACACACACACACACACACACACACAATTAAATACTTCATATTATTAAGTAAAAAAATATATTTTTGAAAGTGTTTGTAAATAAAGAATAATAAACTGTTGGTATGTGTATGATAAGCATTAATGTTAAAAACTAAAGCTTTTTATCTATAAACCTGTCGTTTTCCTCTCGAGATAAGGTAAACCCTGTCTTTCACCTCGAGTCTGCTTTATTTTGATTAAATTTGTTTATAATATTTTTTCTGAGCTTATCTATTTGTTGTTGTAATTATAATTTTTTTTTTCTTTAACCTTGTCTTTTATTATGTATTAGATTATCTGTCATCCAGTGAAATAAAGTAATTATATAGATTATTAATTTTAGGTTAAATTTCCCGGATGTATTTAAAAAATTTCACGTGTTAATTTTAATAGGAAATACTGTATATGTTACAGTATATATAAAGGATTATGTAAATGAAAGTAAATTTAGAATTGTCATTCGGAAGTTCTGATTAGTTCTGGAACCGAAAATGTATTTCACTGTGTTAGACAATCAAGGGAGTAAATAGAATGCATTTTCTGTGTCATATTTATTATATCCTTGAAAGTTAGCTTCTGGCTTCTGAAATTACTTTTTATGGCAATGTCAAATACAAAAACGAAATTTTTTATTCATAAAATTGGTCTATTTTTTAATTTTTTGCTGACATCTGTAGACACGTCATGAAACGTATCAGAGAACTAAAAGATTTTAATTGAAAATTTCTAAACAAAATGTCTTATCTTTAATATTTATTATAAACTTGTATGTTAATGTCACTTATTTTCTTTTTGTTTCAGTTTAAAATTATAGTAAAGGTTCAATAAATTTTAATGATTCTTTTGGTAATTTATCAGTTGGAATAAATACATAAAGTTTAAATTTATGTATGGAAAAATTAATATAAGAAGAAAAATAATCTTAATATACCCATTAAATTCATTATAATTTTTAATTAAAATTTAAAAAACCTCATTTACTTTTTAATATCTGTCATATGGAACTAATTGAGTTCTATAATTAATATTCTATATCAATGACCAGATGTGAACAGTGAAAAAAATAATTATTTTTTTTAAGTTCAAGTTTTTTAAATTATCTTATTTTTATCATCTGTTCTAAACAGTCTAAAATACTTTAGATTTAGATTAATTATAAAATATTCTTTAGGGATTTTAAGAAAATATTTTTCTATTTTTTAGGTTAATTTGTTCTTTTCATGTTGTTTTAAAATCATTGAGCGAATGTAACTCTCCATTAAACATCAATAACAGTGACAAACAAGTTTGTTAGCTTTATTAAATTATGTTATACAGCACTGCACAATGTCATAAATAAATAAGTATTAAAAAGGAACTAAATTTTCTGTTATGAATGATGTAAAAGAGATAGACTAGTAAAATATAAAAGCCTTGAATAAAATAATAAAAATGCAATAAAAAATATTGAAAAAAATTACAAAAAGAGTTCAAAATTTTAATTTAATTTGTTAAAAAAATTAAATTAGTAAATAAAAAGTTAATATTATAATCTCAATTTTTAAACAAAAATATAGAACAAATATAAAATTTGACATTATGAACATAATTGTTTATTGAAATTTGTACTAGATAAATATTTTTAATAATAACCATTATTAAAAATATTTTAAGAATACTTATACAAGAGTTATTGATATTTTTATTTCTTATAAATAATAATTCCTGAATCAGCATTTTTCTGCAACAAAATTTACTCCAATTTCAATCTTGAAGTATGTGTATTATCTTATTATATCAATATCTATCCATTTACTATAAATATCTTGCAATACAGTACACTGCCAGAGATGGAAAAAGACAACTATTACATGATGTATTTGAACTACTGACCTTGGGGAAACCAGATAAATCCCCACAATTGAATTAACATCAACCTTTGATATTTGTAATGTATGTTATATATGGATAAGTCTTAATTATGAACACTTTTGGTTTTAAAAATCAACATTTAAAATTTTAAATTAATTTTTGAGTAATATTTCACTAAAGTTACAAAACTTTGTGCAGACAAGATAGTCTTTTCTATTTGCAATATACAGTAAAGAGTATCAGTCTTCCATTGATTGATCATTCTTTTATAACTGAGATATATCTTCGTCAAAAAGTCATTCAAGAGTAAACTCAGATTAAATATCTCCAAAAAAAATGTTACCTTTAAGCTTATATTTTTGTTCTCTATTAATAATACAACAAATAATACTTCATTTTTTCAATTGGTAGAAAATAAATCTAATTTAATACAAAATTCAAATGTATTACAATCAAATTATTTTGTCTCTTAATTTTCTTGTTCTGTGTAAAATATATGTAATAATATAAAATATTTCATAGCAGAATCACTAAGAATGAATGTAATATGAATATACAGTAATTTATATAGGCAGAAAGGAGTGCAGAGGACCCATTAAACAAAAATAAATTATTTCTACAGTATGTAATAGGAAAAGAAACCTGGAAGAACAATAAACATTATCTTGTCTATTAGCATCTTGATATATAGTAATTATATTGAATATTAATAGAATTTTATAAAATAATTTTAGCAATGTTCCTGTCAAGAATTTAAATTATTCCTTATGTGTAATTTTATCAGTTAATTAAAACATATAGTATCAAAAGATAAAATTTGAGTTACAGGATGTATTTTTAATTAAAAAATATACTATATGATGCTACATAGTAGATCAATATTAATATGTAGTACATTTCCATATATGATAAAAGTGCAATAAAATTTGTTTGTGTAGTATTATTAATGTTATTGTTGATGCAATATCATTTTAATTTTTCAGAATGAAAAATAAATATTTCTAAATTTATAGCTTCTGTAGTTTTATAAAACTGAAGAATCATATAATAATATAATAACTAAAACATTAAAAGATTTATTTTGAAATAATTTCAAAATATTTGAAAATTAACATTATCATCATATATATATATAATATTTCATAATGATTTAATTGCTAAATTAATCTAATATTTGATTTCTGTATTTTGAGTAATAATTATGTCATTATTATAGATTTATAATATTATGAAATATTT